AAGGAATATGTCATCGTTCCGATAAAAAAAAAAAAAAAAAAAAAAAAGAAGAGAAGGTAAAGAAGAAGGACTCTACAAAGAACGTCGCCGGATTCGCCCTCCAGAACGCGGCCTATTTTCCTCCGGCTACCGTCCCCTGCCGTTCGTTAGAAAAATTAACTTTCCTGTCCCTTTCCTGTTCCGCCCCCGCTCATTAACTACACATACGCGACCACCAAATAAAAACGTAAGTTGCTGCTGTTCGTCAGCGTTTGCTGGCAGCCGGTTCGTCGGAAAGTTTAAGAGACGGAATTACCGCCAGCGGCTTTAAATTTAATTGACCGCGTGCGCGACCGGATAAAGAAGAATCCGGACTTTGACTTATTCGCCGGACGAAACACGAGATTGCACCTTTTGCCGCCTTATAATTCTCGAATTATATCGCTCGCGTATGACCGATTCGATTAAAATCCTGTTAATCCGTAAATCTGGAGAAAACTTTATCGACCGAGCATTTTTCGATAGGCGAACTCTCAGCGAAGGTGCGGAAATTGGGCAGAAGGGAGAGGCTGATCGAATTCATTTTAATTTCGCTAACGCCACCCTCTTCCGCGATACTCACTCTCTTCGTTCGGGTTTGTCATTCGTGACTGACGAAAATAAAGCGCGACTAATTAATCAGTGGGACATACTTTCGGAAGGGCAAATTAATTATGTCGAAACGACGGTTGGACGCAATTTCGTGGGGCGCGTGGAGCGACGCAGCGGGGTTGGCAGAGGGAGTCGGTCCTAATAACGAATAAATGACAATGAAAATTTGAAAAGCCGGCCTGGCCGGGCCGAGCACACGAACAAAAGGATGATACGAAGCCAACATTCACGCGAGAATAAATAAATAAATGAGCCAACGGGAAAAATAGCGAGGGAAACTTGGAAACGGGGGAAGGACACGGCATTGCACTTTTTCCATTTCCACGCTTTGAAAATTACATCTGTCTACCTTCTTCCTATCAACTTGCCTTCCTTTCTTCTTTCTTCTTCGCTCTTTTCGTTTCCTATCCCCTTTTCTCGACGATAGTTCGCACAGCCGTTCGTGTAAATAAATGTTCCTTTGTTCGAATAATTTTTCTCGCGCACCAGTAGAAGCTTCGTCGCGTCACGTATACGCGCGAAAGGATGCTCGAAATTCTTTTCACTAAATTTCCGCTTATCGTAAAGTAAACGGAAAACGAACGGACGAAATAGCCGAAAGTCGCTATTCGAATCACGTTGATAGAAACTTACGATGTGACTGTTGAAAATACAATCCGATGCCGTCATAAACTAAAGACGAAACGCGAGCGGATTCGAAGATAAACGACGTGAAAGCCAGGAGAGAAGACGCTGAAACGATCGTTGACAACGATTTGATGATTTTTAACCCTCGCGGATAATTTTTGCCAAGGAAAAGCTTTCCCTACACCATTTCCCGTTTCGCTTCCTCGATGAACGTGTGCCATGTTACGCATGGCCGATCGAAACAACTGATTCGCGCTCGGTGAATAACAAAGTGTCTGGTACGACTGTCCGAGAGAAGCAGATTTATTATCTAAACGTTGTCAGAGGAAAAAAAGGCGGTGGCCGTTCTACTTTTCACAAACTATGGCAACACCTGCGCGTGGAAAAGTTGTCCGAGTCGCAACGCCCAGCGTCTCGCCACTTTTCCAGCCGAAGAGAAAGAAATCGCGGAGAATATCCTTGGTTAAAGTTACTACCGCCTATGAACTTCCTACTCGAGAAGATTCGTCATCGTCTGCTTACCTCGTGCACCTCCCGCGCCATTTGCCCTTCCCACGAGGCCCGACTTCCTGTCAACCTCGGCCTGTACATGGAAAAAACTTATAGCTGTTCGACGAAAGTTAATGCATCCTAGTGTGCGTGTGTCACATTCGTGTGCCACGGTAAGACGTTGCTTCGAATCGTTGCGCAACTGCACGAACGATAATTTATAGATAGTTACGAATTGCACGACAAGACGTGGCTCCTTAGTCAGAGTATACGATACCGGAATGCCGGAGAATACGAATGACAAAATATTTCTGGAAGGAATAACTCTGTATTTGCAAGAAAACCTAACTTGACGTCCATCTCCTTTTTCAAGCTGAATTATTTATATCAACGTAATGTAAAACCGTGTACGTAAGAGTTTATAAATGCTCCTCGCTGTCTACTATTATTCATTCAGATAATGAGTATTCGTGTATAGATAAGTCGATTCAATTGGCAGGAGTACGATTAATCGGTCACTAATCGACGATGTAAGTGCAATTTCGAAATAAGCGATAGGATCGAAAATTCTTCGTGAATACTATTACTTTCCTACATGAACGTGGATGAATCTAGCTCCCTAATATTAGATTGAAATTGAAACGTTCCCATCGATTGTTTCAGCTTACTGTCACAGCAGAAATTCATTGTCATCACTGTGCTCATACATCACGGGAGATGCCCTGCTCTATTCGATGTTCCGGGAGGAGGCTACACCTGTGCCGTGCCCTTTTCGAGGACCCATGACCTTCTCCTATAACCGCGGTCACGGAACTTGCTCGGTACCCGTCAGCAACGTCGACACCTGCACCGACGATAGTAGATTGTTGTTCAGATACCAGGCGTGTCCCGATATATCTGCTTCCGAGAGCGCAGGTGAGCTTTTTTTCATAAGATTTCTCTATCTTAAAATACCTCGTTTCGCTCGTTTACCTATTTATATTATTATCATTATTATTGTACTTCATTTATGGGCCGATGCACAGTATATGTAAGAAAAGAAAGACGCGCGAGAAAGCGAAAAAATACGCAAATCGTACCGGGTTTCTATTTGACATTGAAAATTTGCACAAGGTATTTTCGGTGAAGAAGATAGTTTCACCGAACAAGTGGAAGTGGTCAACGAAACGATTAGCAGAGTTAACAAACCGGTAAATCAGATCGAGAACATTAAGTAACAACTTATGGATTCGTTACAGTTTTAACGACTTATTATATCCTTGTTTGAATCTTTTATTCGCAGGGAATCATATAAGATGGGGTGTACAAATTGAGCGCTGTGCCATTAAAATGTAGAATATTTCGGAAAATGGAGTTAACAGTTTAGCCTGTGAACGGTACATTCGTTATAGTTCTAACGGCGATTTCGGAATTGAACCACATTACGACTCACGGTTAATCTTTTCCACTGTATCGATGGATTCGTGGGAATCGAATGAGCCCTCGACAATATTCGTGTTAGATATAATAAACGTTAGAGATGAATAGCAAATGACTCGGAGGGTTAACGACGTTTATAGTCCTACCCCGTTCGAAATCGTCACACTTAAGAAACCATAATTTGGGGAGCACGTTCGGCGACAGACACTCCAAACTTTCGACAAAGTCTCCTCCAGGCCGTACGCTCGATTAATGGTTCAAAGGGTCAGGGGTCGGGCGACGATTAGATGTGATTTTCGTCCGTGCATTCGTTAGTCGCGGCCCGACACGAGGGAGAGCTCGATTTCCGGAGGAGGGAGCGAACGTTTGCCATTAGACGCACATCCGATAAGGGGTTTGCCGAGCTAACGATTTCTGTGGTGGAAAATTAAACGGAAGGACGGCCAGGAAAAACGATAAGTCGCCGCCATGTCGAACCTGTCACGTCCCTCTTATCGGAGATGGCTGCAGAACGATTCGGAAACCACGACGTTTACGCGTCGTCCTTGATATATTAATGCTTTAAGAACGCTCCTGATTCGAAGGAAAATATACTTGCGATTGGAAAAAATACTTGCGAATATTTCGAAACAACGAAACGCAGAGAAAAGAAAAATACGGAGACAAGAGAAGGAGAATAATCTATAAAATACTGTAAGTAATTTTCGTGTTAAAGCACCATCGGTCGAAGAAGCTATTTCTCGAAATACGAAAATACAGGATATTCTGAACAAAATGCCTCTTATGAAGGAACCTGTACGTCGTTGGAGCAGAACGAGGTACAGGGCTAAATGGCTGAACGAGCTGAGAATCATCGCTTTCCCTTCCTAACGAAGGTCCCCGCTCGCAAAACCACCGACTCGTTTTGCTCCGTTTGGACTTCGTTAAACTTCCGCGGTGGATTGAACGCAGCAGGAGTTCTCGATCGAGAGGCAGCCGCGAACAGTTTCCCTATTTTCGAAGGGCTTTCGTCGTTTTTGCGGTTCAAGTACCGCGCAATCTTAACGGACGAACGTACGAACCAAGTAACAAAGAAGAGAAGTTTCACAGCTCGCTGTCTTTCTCAGCAGTGGGCCAAAAAGTTTGCCAGTGACACGGCTGCGAACTGTCGATGATTCGATGTTCCGATTTTCTCGTGACGATTCGAGCAGTCGTTGAAACGACGAGTCTAAACGAAATTCTACGAATCATTGGAATCTTTTGTCCATACGCGTATAATACTCTGGAAAAACATGGAAGAACAACGATGTACGAGTAACAGGAGCGTATTTTGCAAAATGCGATCGCGACACTGCACAAAGCGTAGGGTATCGCGTATCGATTTAACTTTGGAAAATTCGGCGCGTGATCGACTGCGTCGCAGCTGCCAGAGGAAGATTCGTCTCGTCGGTTACAACCGACCGAAATTGTTTTTATTTTGATGGACATTTTAGCAGAAAACGCTTCACCATGGCGTATCGCTGTTAAATCGAATTAACCCCTGATGCGAAACACACAGGCAAACATATAAAAAAAAGCACGGTAAACAACGTAGAACAAGCGAGCGTGGCGTTGCTCTTTTAGGTGCATCTCGCTCGCGTGATCTTTGTATTGACACGTTCGATGCCCGTACGCGTATCGGACGTACCCCTAATCGTAAACAACGAAAGGAATCGTTTTTACCAAATTACGTCAAAACTACGACGTGCGTATAACAAGCCCTAGTGACCTCAAAGGCGATCGATTGTTGTGGTAATTAATAAGATCGACTGGATAGCCGAACCGGCCGAATAGGAACCCGTTCACGTGCACTTAAATGGTGCGTAATGTAATTTCACGAAATTGTTCGCGTAATATCCCGGCTTTGAGCGCGATGATTTGCTGGGGAGAGCCAAATGCCTCGCTGGCTATAACCCTGGCCCGATATTAAATCGAACGCGCATCCGGGAAAGGAGAGAAGTAAACTGTGCGTCGATGCCGCTTAATCCCTTTGTGGAGTGTTAGCCGATGCGAATTCAGCATAATTCAAACTTAATTAAGTCACGTTCGTCCCAAAGCGAGTGAGAAATCCAGCCTGATGGTCCGTGGTGAATGAAACCGCGGAATTTATTTAAAGCCGATCGATTTGCTGCCTCTGTCGCGACAAGAAATTTTCTAACGGTCGATATTTCCCCTGTTTTATTTGTAAAACTGCGCGAGCCTCGAGTAGATACGTCGCGTCAAATCAACGAGATAAATAAATAAGTGGCGCATACGATACAATATGGTACGTAAGATGGCGTAGAAAAACGTGTAGCGGCTTTAAACCTTGCCTCGTAGAACGAGCGGAATTTTTTCTTTTTACTATGCTATGATTCTCGCGTTTGCATATAGCGGTGCAAAGTGCACCGAAACTGTTTTTTCATAGAGCACCGTATCGCTCGAGTACACTGAAAAATGTAGCTTTATATACCCCGTGCAACGTAGTTTCGGACAGTACTTAGCAGCGTCGAAGAACATTATACGTTTTTTCGTATTACGTCGCGCCAAAAGCGTTTAAGCGATCCTCTCTTTTAACGTACACGCACGCACACGCACACACGCACACACGAGATAGTTGCTCCTGATGAATTACCATTTTAGATTTACGATTCGATAAACGGAAGAACATGAGAAAGCGTATAAAATCAAAACAACGTTCCTAGTGATTACCGCGATACAGATGAAACAATATATCATCCGGTGAATACAGTATATCAAGTGAAAAGTCGCATAAAAACGTCGAAACGAAGCGTGAAAAACATTAATCAAAGAGGCGAGAGCTTAGTTCAAATGAATTGTAGAAAGTCACACAGTGAATCTACCTACGACTCCCCCGTGCGATTTCGCTTTTACACCCTGACGCGGATTAACCTTTATCACGGTTTAATTCTATTCTCCCTACGATCACGCCACTTGCTGTTTTATTTTCCTACATATCTTAAATCCATTCTAGCGCAGCCGGTGTTTTTTTTCTCTTTTTTAATATATAGCACGGCGTAGAATACCATCGAAGCAAATCCTGAACGAAATCGGAAACGGAATAACGAATCATAAACATGTAGAAACCACGGTAAAGGGAAGCTCGATTGCCAGCATTTACTCTTCTACGGATAACATATCACGTTTGATCGATATCGAAATCGACGGAATCCCCAATCGACGGAAAAAAGGACAAATATGTGAAAAAAGACTGAAGATCCGATGATCGATGCGACGAATAAAAACAGGCGGGGTGTACATCGGAGACCGAGATTTCCGTGTAGAAGAGGATAAGGTAAGGTGTGTAGCCAGCTGTTGGAGAGGCGTAGAAGGCGAGCAAGGTTAGCAAAGAAGGATCGTCGACGCGAAGAAACCAACAATTATCGGTTCGGTGTGGCGAAAACGCGACTTTCAAGAGGTCACGGCTAAAGAACAGGATTTTATCGGCGCATCTGCTCGACTGGCATCTTCTTCCTCTCTCCTTAACCGGCGTCTATGCGACGAGGTTTTCCAGAGAGAAGCAGCCAGCCAAGATCTCATAGACGCGTATCTAAATCACATCTCGCGGAAGAGTCGGCTACCACTTTTTCCTGACGTTTCTTTCTCCTGCCCCCTCCTCCACGCCGGTGCAACCCCTCGGTTCTCGGCCCTTTATCCCCATCCCCGGCCATTCCTCTTTCGCTACGCTCCCCTTTTCCTCTTCCTTCGTACTTTTTCTTCTTGCCTTATTTCTCTTCGTTCTCTTCCTCCACAGCCGGCTTCCTTTTTTGATCCCTGATCCTTCGGGGCGAGGACGCCGCGAGCAATTTGCGAGGATTCGAACGAAAAAGCTCGTTCCCCCGGTGGCGGTCCTCGCTCTTTTGCTCGTCAGCCGGTCCAGATTCCGGCGCATACGGCTCAGTCTCGTTTCCACGAGTTCCCGCGTCGAATTTGATCCCCGCCGATAGATGCAGAGATCTGGCGCGAATCCTGCCGCCTTTCCGCGTCTAGCAGCCTCCGCAGCTCGTCAGCACGAACCCTCTGGCGAAAATTACTCGCTGCTCGTCGTGATGAACGGCGGATCGTTTTTCTCGGATTAGACTCGAGCTTTGCAACGCTGCCGCCGGATGAGAACAGTGCCGGTGGACCGCCCTAAGTAACGCGGGGCTGCTTTTAAACCAAAGTGAAGGAATAGTCACTCGATAAGAGGTGCTTGAAGCGAAGCTTTCTCTACAGATATTAAATAAGAGAGTAGCGCGTCGCAGATTACGACGTTAACAATAGTAGTACTCAGAAGGAAACGTTATAGAATTTAGAAATCAAAGGATTTATAGGAATAAGCTTCGGGTTAAAAATTGTATTTATTGGAGGAGAAATAAAGAGCTATAGGTTTTACATTGAAAAGCGCAAAAGTTTATTACAATGAATTTATGGCATGTTTCGAAGAATTTGATTTGCATATGATTGGTTTCGAGATAGCTTTTGTTGGTTTAATCAAATCACTGGACAATGGAATTACATACCTTGTTATTGGGCTTCTGTGGGATTAAAACTCACTTAACGTTAGTATTAATTCTCTGCAAATTGAACGATACGTTCGGCCAATAGTTGGTATACAAGTAGTACGAGAGTGCTACACGAGCGTGTATCGCTCGTTCGAACGTAACTTTTATCGTGGAATATCCTATAAATTACAGCGGGTCCGGGGAAAACGTTGAACATATTGGGGAAATATTCGTCGGTTCTCCATCAGCCGGCAAAATTTTATGAAAACAGACGCGTAACTCGTTAGGCACTCGCCTTACCGAATCGAAATTCATTCTCGTGATTCGTGTCGGAAATAAAAGACACGATGATATACCTTTGCCGGTCCAACGTACGATCCTTCGCGAATCTCCAATTTCATCGATATCCTAGGTGAAAAGCTGTTCCACGGACGATTCCGAACTGAGAGCTAGCGGGAAAAAAAACGAATGCTTACGAAATCGTGTCGAACGAAATTTCATCGTACGAAGAACAAAATCGCAGACTGCGAAACGACGGGTGACACGCGACCGATCGCGTCTACGCCCCCGTCGGTCGTCCATATTTACGATGAAATCGGTTATTTTGGCCGTTTCAGTGGAGGAACTGGAATGCCTGGCCACCTGGAAGGAGGGCAGCAGCCGTTACCTGGTGGGCCGTTTACATCACGGACACGCGTCCAGTAACGAAGATCGATATCGATGCTTCGTCTACGAGAAGGCCGGCCAGACAGTGCAGAGTAATCTACACAGAGCTGCCATGGGCATAGGAGCCATGGATCACGATGTCGGTTTACAGAGTGGACCGGTGCCCGAGGGTGCGGCCGAGATCTACCGGGTGGCACAGAGCGGTGACGCCACTTGCAACGGTCTGTTCAGCCCTATGGAAGGATCTCGAACCATGACGCTCATGAAAGGTACGTGGCTTTCTGAATACAATTGATTTTCAAGAGAGAGAGAGGGAGAGAGAGAGAGATCTTTCCTTCGAATAAATCGTCTCGAGCAAATTTAGCTGCACGATAAAATAGATTTCTTTAGGTAATTCGTCTTTGAGTATTTGGAGAAGAAGAAGCGTTCGTTACAGATGGTGTTTACTTCCGTAAAAGAATTACACGAAGAAGCGTATTTTCCCAAGTTGTATTCAGAGTTTAACGATTAGGTTAAATTTGGCGTCAAGGCAAACGAGTATGGCGGGAATAAGGTCAGGTTACGAAATACGCGAGAAAGCTCGGGAGAAAAGAAGGAAAACCTGTATCGTCGGAGGAATCACGGTCTGAAAAATTTAGCTCTCTCGCAGTGTCATTAACGGGTCGTGTCAAAATGGCGGATCCATAGCGCGAAGAAGGAATATTTACACGCTACTCCACTTCCTCGGTACGGTCCTCTCTTTTCTTTGGCCCTCGCGCGAGCGCGCGCCACCGAACTTTTCCTCTTTCTTTTTCTCTCTCTTTTTTCTCTCTTTTTTCTTCGGCTTGCACTTTCTTCTTCGAGAGTTTGCTAGCCCGTATCTTACTGCGTACAGTTTCACGGCAAACTTCGTTAACGGATTTCACTTGAGTAGATTTGTAGAGTCTTTCGCTTTAAGCGGCGCCCCGCAGCCTCGTCGCGGCATGGGCGCGCCACTTTCTTTCCCGAATCGTTTTTAGTCGAGCGAGAGTCGCCGACACGCGGATGAAACTGTCGGTCGAAGAAATGGCGAAGGTAGATGCCGGCAAACGGTCAAGACAAGGGGTTTGCTCGGATCCAAGCGCGCCACACAGCGTCGGTTCGCTGCTTGCAAGCGCCCGTGTCGTTAATATCTCAATTCTTCTTGTGGAAACGGCACCGGAGAAATAGGAAGGGAGCGACGCCAAGAAACAGCCCGGGAAATGGATTAACATTAAATCTTTTCCTCTCTTTCTTCTTTCTGCTCGGTTTCCCTCGTGGCTGTTCTCTCTCTCTCTCTCTCTCTCTTCTCAACCCTATTCCTTTTCCTTTTCGACCTGCTTCTCTCCCTATTCCTCTCTCTCTCTCTCTTCCTCTTTATCTATCCGTCGTTGAGTACCTCTAACTGCAGCCACAGGCCGGCTCGAAAGTTTGTTCAATTAGCCTGGACTCTTCCGCAGAGTCAATACCCCGGGAAAATTACTCGGCTGCGTTTTCATAACTGCTCGAAACGTGCGGTTTAACCAGCGAAAGGGAACTTAGCCGAGGCCGTAGACCAAGTCCGAGACAGGGAGAAATGTCTTGAAACATGGAGGAGAAGAGCCTCCGAACCGTGTTCCGTGCCACGAGGCCCTTCCCGAATAGGCAATTACGTCGGCGAACCTGCTCGTTAATCGAACGGACGTGCTCCGAAATTTCCGGTGGTAAGCTACGTTCGATAATATTTGGACAGCATCGACTGGACAAATAAAATCACCTGATCGGTGTGCTGTCACGCGAGACAACCATATCCCTTCTCTGATTTCATATTGTTCTAACCTAATGGAATTAGAGGAAATTCGAAAGAGGCGCAACAACCGCCAGTTATACGTGGAAACTTTCAACGTACCGATTAACGGCCAGATTTCCGAGATTTTACAAACTGTAATTACTGATTTCGTTAAAAGTTGGAAGGGAGTGAAGTTAGTTGCGAGCTCGGCGCGTCACTCCGCTTCATTATCGACGAGCTGGAACTTGCACGTAGCTCGGAACATAAATATTAGAAATCAATCGCGACATCGGCGGATCTCTTTCAACGTTCTGGGCTGAATCGTTTGCAGTCAGCCCGATACGAGGGAGTTACAAATTCAACTTTCCGTCAGATTTTTATCGGTGTCGTTAAAATGCAGATTGGCAATACACGACGGGGAACGGGAAAAATAACGGAAAGGGTCGACGCGGCGGGGGATGCTGGGGTGAAAAAGGTACGTGCGAAATCGAAGAGAGAGAGAGACGGATTCACGGAGAGTGAAAGAGAAGCGAGGAGGAAAAAGACGGCGCGCGGCTTGATACCACGAAAAGATAAAGGGCGACAGCAAGTAAAACAAGGGAAATGCCATTCGATTTTTACGATCACGGAATTTGTATCTCGCTCGTCCGCGTCGTGGACTTATCGAGGGAGCCGCTGAATTATTTCCATTCTTTTCCAGGCTGTGCAACAATGCTTTTACGTGCCATAAAACTGCCCGAACGTACACTCTGTCAATCCTCCATTCGCCAACCTTACCCCACGCTTCTTTCCTTATCATACTATTCCTTCGGTATTTCTCCTTTGAACTTGCCCCGTCTCTTTCTTCGTGTATCCCCATCTTCCTCCCATTTTCCCATCCTTTTTCCCCTATACTTTTTATATATCGTGCCTTTTACCCTTCCGTCGTTACAGCCCGGCTACTCTCTTTTTTTCCCTTCTTCGTGTCCCATTCTCCGGCATCCCTTTCTCCGTGCTTCGCCATGTTCTCTCTTTGTCTCTTCCTATCCTGCTTCATCCCTGCCTCTCTTCCGTTCTGCTTGCTCCTTTTTCATCTATCTACCGGCCTATAGACCGCGTTCCTCTTCTTCCTTTTTCTCGATGCTCGTGCTCGCTCCCTCTTTGTTATCCATTTTCCTGCGTCAACCTTTTCCCCTCTACCCAACACCGTCGAAGTGGCTCCTTCTCACGTCCGGATTTTACACCCCCGAGCCAGAAGTGGAACACGTTGGGAAGTTTCTGGAGAGAGAGAGAGAGAGAGAGAGAGAGGGAGAAAGGGGGGAGGGTAGCTCTAGTGGACTGGCGAGATACTCGAACGATTCTGTTTCGCTATCGAATACCTGCGTCGACGTTTTACCGGCTGTCGTTTCGTAACGTCGAGGACTTTATGAGCCAGTGTGGGCTGACTGCGAAATTTTCGGAGATCGCCTCGTCCCGATCGTCTCTTTCGTTCTTCTTCGTCGATCTCTTCTTATTTCCGCTCGCTTAATTCTCTCGATCTCATTGAAATGGTCGACGATTCTCCTCGATCGATGCGAGAATGCGAATGTCTGGATCAAACTACGGAAACGTTCGTCCAAAGAGTACGGGAGTGCGTCTCGCCGGGTGAACATTATCGCGATAATTCCGTTCTTACGGCTATTAGACTTCGTCTCCCGACGGCGTTCGGCGCGCGACCATCGACGACTACGGTCGAATAGAATTAAAGCGACGATTCCAAGGTCGAGTCGATTACGCTCAAGGTCTGGCGTGGGCCCGCGCCACTCTCAAATATTCCATCGAGTCGGCGGAAACGAACCGTTTAAGCGACGCGGATAAAAACGAGAGGCAAACGAACGAACAGACGGATATCGCAAAGTCCGTATTCTAAATACGTTTTAAAACGAAAGGAGCTGTTCCGTTTAACGCCGGTAGCGAAGTTGAAAGAGCGGGAGGGCAACTCGTGGCAACAGTCCAATCAGCATTAAATAAATTGGTTTCCGTACGCTTTCAGTCTCGCCACCCGGCCAGTGCCGATTTCCCAATTGGTTAACCGGCCACTCTAGCGGCGGACTGACCTGGCACACCCTCGACCTGACCAGATCTTACACGTTCCATCCTCGGAACGCTTCCCTGCACGTAACCAGATCGAATAGCAGTTCCTCGAGATTCGAAAACGGTCCCCTAGACGGACAGTACGTTCCGGGTCAAGAAGATCAGGACGTAAAGATCTTATGCAACAGCATCAAACAGTCTAGCGCTGCTCAAGCGATGACGATGACTATGTTGGTCGCGCATTTCACCGTCGGTTGGTGAGTATAACCGCTTTCGATCGCTAGCATAAGGTTTGCCTATTCTTGCATGTTTGTTTTGTCGTTTGTACGCCACGAGCGGTTAAAAAAAGAAAAAAGAAAAGAAAATTGTCATCTTTCTGTAAAGGAAAAAGAAAAAGGAGAAAGCTAAGGACGCGAACGATAAAAAGGGAAAAAGTTCGTAGTCTCCGAATGCAGGAACGGAAAGAAAAAGAAAAAAAAGGGCAAAGAACTCTGCCGATAAAAGGAAAAAAGAGTACAGTGTTTTGAGGAACGGGTTGCGCCGGACGCGCGCTACAATCGCGGTACCATTGTCAGAGTAAACAGTCGTGTTATTGTTCGCGTGGCGAAACGTTTTACCAGTCTTTTACAGGGCAAAGGAATGTGCGGTTTTTATTCGGTATTCTTCCTGTTTTCAGTCGGAGCGGTTTCATGTGCATGACGTTCTACCGAAGGGACGGTCACGTGATAGAAGTGCAAACCGGAAGCGCCGTTTCAAGGCCGGAAGAAGCTTGCAGCACGCCCCATTTTCAACAGCACAACATACCCTTCCTCACTTTAGTCAGTAAGTACAATAGCGTTGTCTCGATATCGTTCTTTTATCCCGTTGATCCGTTTCGAATTCCGGTCTGACCACGTCTGTTCTTTTCTACTTAGAGAGCGCTATCGTCCTTTGCGATCGCTCTATGCTTCATCAGCGATTTGAATTATGTCAATGACTTTTTACGAGAATAACCGATTCGTTATCGGCAATACATGGAAGTGGGAGGTTGTATCTTATAGATTGTGAAAAAGTACGTTGCTCGAAACAATTACGGTGACAGGCCCTATCTGTCTAAACTCCATTTACTGGAACGAAATCTTGGCGATTGAATCCAGTTATCCGAATGCGAACTTCTGTTATACGAGAACGAAAAATCGTAGAAAATGGGAAAAGTCGTCTGAAGTGCAGTTATATGATCTGTTTGTAGTTCGACGAGTACGATCGATCAAAATGGAACATCGCTAACCAGTCTCGCGATTTTGTCAGTCACTTTGATTTTGATGGCTGCTCCTTACGTTTGCATCATTGCCGTTTCGTTTTGATCATTGCCTTAAAAACGATCAGTTTCGTTCGAATAACACGACAATATACGTATATGACTTGCTCGTCTCTGTTCATTTTGTTCGTGCGATAAAGGCATTCGTGGCAACTTTAGTTGCTCCTTATTGTTTCGAACAGTGTAATTACGATTCGTAATTGTGAAACGTAAAAGGCGATCGTCGAATACAGTTTCTCTCGGCTTGAGTCGTCGTTATGTCGTTTTGCTGCGGTGCCGTGACGGTAATATCGGGCTCTAGCGAGAGGCAAAAGTTCGATCGCTCTCGAAAGAGTAGGTTGCCCGGTTACGCTCGATTTGCGTGACCCTTGAATTTTATTAGCTCCGTAGAAGAGGGGCAGAGTCCGAAAAGAGAGAAATATCAAGCAAGAAAAAAAGAATGTTGGCTGCCGGAAACTGCCTCCAATGCCGATAAACCCCGGAGAACTCGAGCTACGTGGAAAAGTTTCTGGTAGTGCGCGGCAGAGGATTTAGTGCGGCTACATTGTTGCCCCGGTTGGAAAAGCAGGCCGGTGGTGTGAGGCTTGACCGATACCTTTTGCAATTTTCGATCGTTTTAGATCGAGAATGTTTCTACGTTTTATTGGCAGAAGGAGCCACGTAGCGATGGAATTAACTCGATGCCTTTCGAACAACTCGCAACCGAATCTGAGAAGCTTTCTGAAAAAGGGCTCGCGCAGTTTGTTTTCCAGTCAAATAGCCCAATTATTACGAAATTCTTATTTGCTTTCCTATGCGTAGAAAAAAGAAACAATGTTCTTTAAGAGATTCCGTATTTATCAATTGAAACACGACGAATATTTACAAATCTACCAGGTATGTATATATGAAACCGCAATTTTTGTACACCATACTCGAAGCTCCACGATTATTGTTCTATACATACATGTCTAGTAATTCGTGATATCGTGTAACGATCATAGTACCATTTTGTATTTGTTGTCAGACTCAACGATTTTGTAATTTTTCATATGTATACATTCAAAATCCACTATTTTATAAAATGCTACGATTATATGGTTTTCGTTCGGTCGTTGTTCGAGGACATTGGTAAAAGTTAAGAGCTCGGTTGATCGAACGAAAAGGAGAAAATGCGGAAGGAGAAATAGGGCGGCGGTAGCCTCGGCGATTTGTCAAAATCCCATGAACGACTTCTAAGTTATATACCTATCGTTTGGTCGGAACGGCTACCTCTAGTTCCTTCGACCGATCGGAATGTAGGCGAGTGTGAGCGTACTTCGACACATACGGTAACACGACGATGTATAGCAGTCAGTGCACGCGTGTATGGCTATGTTATGCAACGGGTGGTAAACGAATCTTCCTGGAGAAATTCAATTTTGTAGGGAGCTGGCGAAGCGCGTCACGAAAATCGTTGAAACCGCACAAATATTTTGTTTCATCGTTCCGACGATGGTTCGTGTGGTTTGGTTTGGTGGCTCTGTTTGCCGATCACCTCTTTCTTCATTTGTTTTTTGTTTCTGCATTTGTTGCCAGTTCGAGGTGTATCGTGACCGCAGGCCGGGAGTTATTCTTTTTTAATCGAACCGTTGCGGTTTCGCCCTTTTGATTCTCGTGTCAAAAGCGCTTTATCCGTCGATCTTTTTGCATTGTAAAAACGTGTCAGGATCTTCATTGATCTGTAAGTACGTCGCGCAACGTGTTCCACGAACGATGTTCGAATTTGGGAAATTCCCTCTTTAAAATTCATAAATCGGCCGTTGATAAATTACCGTAACGAATAAACGACGCGAAGATATTTTGCGCGAGCCATCCGAAAATCGGTACAATAAACAACAGGAGAATTCTTTTTCCTGCGTACAATGTGTCTTAACTATTCTCCGGTACACTTCTGTATCGCTTTCTATTTTCTCTCGTTCGATATCCTGATGAAAACTTTTCGTTTCCTACAGATCCGCATCTGCTGTCCTGTGAAATATTCTTTGAAAATTTTCAAAGAAAATATCCCACGTAGCCGGTTCATTCGCGTAGCTTCCCATCTACAAGTGCAGCTGATACGAATGCAAGCTGCGATATACGTCTGGTTGGTCACAACGAAATATCCTAGCCCTGCGACGATCCACCTTTTCGAACTAGCTTCCCTTATCCCAACACCTTCTTCGTCCTACACCTTTCTCTCTTATTTTCGTTCGTAGTCTCCTCTTCGCCGCAACTTACACATCTTCGGGGAACGCTCGGTTCCCGAGGGTCGGGTTTGTAATCCCGTGGGAGTTATTGGATTCGGTTTGATGCAGTATTCGTTCGCTCTACCTCCCTATTCGATCTCCTCGCCTTCCTCTAACGTCTGGCCAGCTTCGATTCCGAAAGCACGCTTCCGATTCTTTTCTTTCTTTCTTTTTTTTTTTTTCTTTTCTTTTTAACGAGATCCGTGTTACTAAAGCTAATTAATCGCAAAGTCCCACGATTGCATCACGAACGGCATATTACTCGGCTTCGAAGCGCGTATTGGGAACTGCTTCCTCCGATGTAACTCGGCGGTAGGATAAGACGAATTCGTGGAAACCGGTGAAAATTCAAAAACCGACGGTTCGCAGTCAAAGTCGTTTCGTCGCGGTTTTACGGCGCTGTCAGATGATAAAATTATAATCGTGCGAAAATTGAAGAGAAAGTTTGCGGCCGGGTTCGAATCGATCAAGCGGAATCCAAGTTTCAACTTGTACGAAGGATCAAGAAGTTTCGCCAAGTAATTCGCCGGAGTTTCTGTCCAGAGACTGCGGACCGACCAAAAATTCGTTGCCCGTAACCGCGTCCGTGGGTAGGCGTAGCGCGCGATAGATCATTCGTTTCACAGGGAAAATGCTTTCCCAGAACTGTTCCCGTTCCTCCCCCTGTAGCCATAAGCTATACAATATCCGCCGGTGCAATAAAGTGGACCATCCACCAACCATCCATCTTTTTTCGTAGCTCGCAAGCTTCCTTTCGCTTTCTTCCTCCTTCGCCCGCTGTTCCACCTCTCTTCTTTCTCTCTTTCTTCGGCTCGTTTTCCTCCTCGACCAAAGTTTTATGAGCAGCC